CTAACACTGATTTGTTCAGGTGCTGATTACTGCTGTGTCCCTTTAACTCAAGTTTAAAGTACTCTACTCTACAGTAGCAGTTTCCGGGAATTTAATAGGACATTGGATGTCAGAGTTAATAAGTTTGATATCTGACATATGGCTGTACTTACAGTGATAGTTCATACATAAAAAATAAATAAATCTGGAATATCTGGCATTATTTACTAAAACCATCATGACTTTCTTTCTTCTATGGAACATAAAAGGAGAAATTTTGAATACTGTACGAGTCACTCTTTTCCATGCAATTGAGGTGAATAAGAAGTACATTCTAAAAGTGTGTTGTGTTAATATTGAAAGAATTTATCTTTATTCTGTAGGACTTTTCCCAAGTGTCTGTCCCATATTCTGAAGAATGCATTGAATTGTGTTGTGTTTTAGGGTTAAAGAGAAATGTCCGTAAACTGGCAGTTTTCAAAAATTACCGGTACCTTTTCCATTTTTCTACTGATTTTTCTTAAAGTGCAGCCCATACGAAATGCCCCAATGGTTTGGAGACAAACAGGTCGTTATTTAAAGGGGTCGGGCCCACTAGGGGGCCTCAGCAAAAAACTAAATTTCTTATTTCAATTAGTTTCCTCAACAACTATCATTTTTTTTATTAAAGAAACCAGGATTCCCACAGTCTTGTAAAACCTGGATATATAAGGTAAAGACCTGGAAAACTACAAAATCCTGAAAAAGTAATGGAAATTTCTTTAATTAGTATATATTTTTCTAGTTATATCAAGCTCTAAAATATATTATCAAGTAGAAATTGCTGAGAAATGGCCAGTTTTGTGAGTTTAAACTTATTTTTAAGTTTTATCTCATAATCACAAACAAGTGGAAAGGTCATGTGAATATATTAATATTAATATCATTTTAATATAATTGTTTAGCTGATTGCACTGAAAAGGCTTACTAGACAGAAAGTTAGAAAGTCATACAGGTTTGGAGAGACATGAGTAAATAATTCCAGAAAGATCAAACATTCCCTTTAAGCTGTTTAATTTCAGTGTGGTCACATTTTTTAACTTTTTCACACTTTTTAAAGTTGAGCCATTTTCATAGCAAAAAAAAAATGTGCAGATTCTTTTTTGCTGTGTTTTCTCTCTCTAATCTCAGTCACAGACACATCCACTGGTATTTAACTGTCCTTTGGAGACTCTGCTATTGGTGATTAGTGTGGCCTTGACATAAACGACTGGATCAATACGTGATGTAAGCAGTCGGCCAAGGTCACTGCCCCCGCTGTACGATGACTTGGCTGGATTCGGTCAACCCCTGGCTGATAAATTCAGGGTGACTGACCATTGCTGACCTAGGCATTGCGTGTCAGACTGACCAGAGAGACTTGGGCTGTGGTGGCTGGTCATTTGGCTGATTCTGTAATGAAGTGTTCAGTATTGCCTTCCTGTCAGTCAGTAATTAAAGGAAGAGATATGAAGCCTTAGATAGGTGTTGAATGGACAAGCGGGCCATTGGCTACAGAATGGCAATGAACAGGCAGTGGAGCAGTAAAGTGACATGTAAACTACTCTGATATGGACTGCTAATGGCTGCCTGGAAGATAGATTAGACGGGCTGCCTGGGAGGGCTGTACACAACATGAACAGATCTTTAATCTGTGTGATGTGTGACATTAAAACAATGTCCAAATAATTTAGCACAAAATGTTACATTTGAATTTAATGCAATTTTTTATTTATATCAAGTAGCTATTTCTATCAGAAAATTATTGCATTAATTAAATACAATAAAGTATACAGTGCATAAAATAAATTCTAATAAATGTGTTGGCCTGTTAAATGGCTGTAGTTTATCATTCGATGGAAGTGTTTTTGTTGGTCTTGCATTGCTTGTGTTATACATGTATAAGGACTATGTATATATGTATTTTTATTTATTGCAGTTTATTCAGGTTAGACCTGGTCATGTGGTACACACCCATATTTAGGGCTTGCCCAGTGCAGGTGAGGGGAATCCTGGGAATCCGAGCTTCCCAGTCATCCATGCAGCCAGCTGCCACCACCTGAGACCTTGCACATTCCTCCGTCCACTAACTATTTAGTTGTCAGTGATTTGGTTAAGTGGAATTGACTTTTATCTTCACTGTGCTGTGGGGCTGCCACTGGCGATACACATTCCCCCATCCCTCAGCCGCCTGTCTGCTCTCAGCCCCTGTGTCACATCTAGCACATTGCTATTGGCAGCCGAGGAGCGGCTGATCAATAGCCCAGGTCAGGGATGGCCCGCGGCCCTGCTGCTCTGCAGGCTGGGGTATTGATCCAGATCCACTCCGTCCCGCTGCTCCGCCCAGCGTAAGGCCACAGTCTGCACGGTGTAGAAGGTGTGAATGGGGAGGAATGGCACCCATGCCACTGAACTGCACTAGAAACATTTAGTGTTGTCCAACCAGGATAGTATGCTATAATAGTTTGTCTTATTGCAGCCAGACCTTTCTCATCATGTTGCAATATTGATTCATTGTATATTTAAAGGTGTGGAGTATAATTTCTGTAATAGCAGTGTGAACAAAATGAATTTCAAAACTGACTGTTTTTCAGACAGGTTTCCCCATACATCATTGAACAGACTAACAGTTAGTCATGTCATTTACATCACTTCCTGTCTGCCGGCCTCTGCGCAGAGCAGCAGACCTTGTCTTGAACATGGAGGGACCTTTATATTATTATTTTTTCAAGGAATTAAATGATGTAATATGACTTACGGAATAAAGAAGGGGGAAAAAATCACCATCTAAAATTAGAATTTATTTGATATAAATGTAATCAATTTCATATAAATATATAGTTTAGTCATGAAACTCTAGATGGCACAGGCTGATGGGTTGTTAACTTAACTGATGATATTCAGAGAGTTAAACGACTTGGCACAAGCTGATTGGTTCATGCTGCATATGCAGCCAATGAGCTTACTGCCTTGCATTTATATGGCTGGCTAGCATTCACTTGAGATTCCTGCAGCGCGCTTTCAGAGTTTCTCTGAAACCCTCCACCTTCCCCAGCTCCACCTGTATAGATCTGCTATGGGTTATTTTATATGCTGTTTGTGCATATGTCTTAAGTCTTAAATACTCATGGCACCGTATCGCCGTATGCATTGGCAGTAGCAAGTTCCTGTATTTGCTTGCAGCAGCAGCAATAATCTACAACAACAGCAATAACCAACAGCAGCAGTAATTCAGCAGCAGCAGCAGCAGCATAGCAGATCTGTTCCGCCAAGACCAAATACATTAACATTGTCATATCCATCACCATGCAAAAATCTTCCGAGAGTTGTCATGATTAAAATGTAAATATATCAATTTTAATATAAATATAGATTTATATTTTAAATATGCACTCTTTAACTCTTAATACCTAATATGTTGAAAATGTCTCATTCATTTATTCAAATTCATTTTTCTTCTTGCTCACATTTAGTCATGAATTTCATGAATCACATAGATTATAACCTATATTTTCAATTCAAAATGGCAAAAAGTTAAGTAGTTTGCATCACTGCATATTACCATTGGTTGTTTAACATTTCTATCATTATACCTTATAATACCTCATGCTCTTTCACCATTAAAACTGAAGCGAACCGCAAAGCCAGCCTTCTTTCATTTAACTGGCCATCTCAATTTTTGACATTGACAAGCACTGTTATAGACCTCCTACTCTTACGACAAGCACTGAGGCAGACCAGCCTAAAACTTTTTGTCATCCAAACAACAAACAGAGCAGTATCAATAATATCAAATACTGAGTGGGACAATTTGGCCGTTTCTAATTATTGGCGAGTACTGGTCCCCTTCATTGTCTATAACGGTCATGGCCCTGGCGCAGAGACGGACCGGTGAGCGTAGACATAAATCGGCATCGAAAAAGTTCAGACCTCCACACCCCATCCATTCATCATCCATCTCGGAACCCCCTCAGCACCTCCTCCTCCGTCCCCTCACCAGCTTTCCTGCCTCGACTGCTTGTTTTTGTTGCAGTTTTAAGTGCCTCTCCCTGGAGCTCCTCATCAACAACTTAATAAGAGCTCTTGGGAACAATTAAACAACATCTTTAACCCTGCTCTATCCACAGAGGTAAAAATAATCATAAAAATGTTGCCAAATAGAAGAGACTCCAGGGGGACCGTTCAGAAATCACAGTCTGTCTCCTTCTCTGTCCTTTATTCCCTCAACTGAAGCCCAAGCAGCACAGACGAGAGCTGTCAGAGCCGTAGCCTATGATAGACACATTTACTCGGCTTTCTATCCCAGCCCCATGTGCCGTTCCCCTTTGCTTTTCCCTCCTCCTTTTTTCTCTTTCAATGTTGGAACTGACATGTGAATAAATATGTACTGTCTAAGTGGCTTTGTTGTTGTGTATGAGAGATCTTCCACAGAGTGCACAATTATGCATGTTATTACAGGAATATGTCTTGTTCTGGTTATGGGGGAAATTAAGTTTCTCCGGAAATTTCAGTTTTTTTTTCTTCTTCTTCTTCTTCTTTTTTTTCATGGAGAGAAAGAGCCCCTAATGCCACAAGAGGAAAAATTACTCAAAGAAATGCATTTATTACTTAATGTAATCTGGAAAATCATAAGGTTTTGTCCTGCAGCAGTAATAAAAATAATTATATATTAATTTTCCGTTCTCTAAAACAGCTTATTACAGAATTCAAAAGACTTGATAGAAGCCATATTGTTCTGTGTCCTCCCCTCCTGAAAGAGATTTAGCCGGCTCTTTCTCAGAGGGAACGAGCATGCAAAGCGAAAAATCTGCACTCACTTATGGAGCATAACTAACAATGGCCTCACCTCCTCTCAGCTCTGCTTTATAAAAGGCAAAGTGTGTGTTTATACGTCTCTGTGAGAATCTATTAAATGTGTTTCTTGTTTCATCCTTTGTTTGGTCGCATGAAAGAACTTTTGCTGTAAATGTTAATAGCATGTTTTTTTTTCTTCTTATCCCTAGGTGGCGCTATCACTCCGAAAGGCTTTTCCACCGACTGTGGATGCATCAAACCAAATCGCATAACCGGGTCTCGTAGCTTTGAAAAAAACTGGAAATACCTGGAATTATAGGACTACATCATCCCATGCCCTTGCCAAGGGACTGGATCTGAAAGCTTTACATTCCTCTTTACTTTTGAATATACCAACAGACCAAAAAAAAAAAAAAACTGATAGCTTTAGCACTAGCGATAGATTACGGCCATCCACCTGCCATTGCACCAAACCTGCTGTGACCGCAAGGGCTGTGACCTTTCTGGCGCCCACTTCAAACGGACACTTAAAAAGAAGGACGCGGTCAGAGAGGGCTTCCGAGCGGTGGCAACTGAAACCAAAAACCCCATCAGGTAAGGCTGTGAAGTCACTTCTTTTCCTGCTGGAAGCACCCCCAACGCTCCCCGGGGGCTTTTGAAGCCCAGATGGACTCCCTGCGTCCACGCCCACATAGGCGGCTTCTCCTCCATGCTGGGCCTACAGGAGAGCCCACTGTAGATAAAGGCTTCCCGGGTTTGAAGACTCAATCACCTGTCTGCTGCTGTAGGATTAGAGGGAATGTGTGCTGATTGAATTTGTTTGGCTCAAAGATGCTTAGGTGCAGGGAAATCCTGGAAAGCGACTGAGAAGGAGATAGATAGATTGATTGACTGGAAAGCAAGAGTGTACAGATGTACAGATACATGTAATCGTTGCATATTTTCTTCTACATAATGCAAGTTAGCCTGTGCTGCAGGAATATTCTGAGTTCAATACAAGTTGAACTAACACAAAAACCGCAAAAAATAATTTGGACTTGTCTTCCCTTTTCTTAAAAAAATACAAACAAGACAATGTATGCAAGATTATTTTAATGTGTTTACTAAATTGTTTACTAAACAATTCTGTAGATCCAATTTTGCAACTTCATTACAATGTTTTAAAATGTCCATAAAATGCTAAGAATTTAAAATAATACACTGGTTTTGACAGTAGAATTAATGTAGCTGTTTTTATAAACTTTCACATTTCAGCTTTTAAATTCTTTTCAGAAATTAGTTGCATTGAAAGTGCCTCACTGTAACTTTTTTTTTAAATGAGGGACGAGTCGAAATTACTTTTTGCAGTAATCAGCATAATGCCATAAATGCTGTCGATTGAGCTTAACTTGTATTAACCCAGAATATTCTTTTAATGCTTGTTCCTAGCATGAGAGTAATTTTTGCGCGTCTATGATGAACAAATTTCTCACCTTGAATATGAATACTGATTTAGTTTTTAGTGTTCCCCTGACCATTTCACCTGCGGTCGTTGCCTTTTTATGTCTGATCTGACTTTTAAAAAAAGACTTTCATCTGTGTTTTTGGAGATGATTAAATAATTGCTTTGATTCAAATAAAATCAGTTAACTTAGAAGTTTTCACACTGAGTAGATTTTTGGTTAATTCTACAAACATTTTACAGTGTAGTTACAAAACAGCCACACAGTGCTGCCTGGGTGACTAGCATATTCGTGTGTAAATGTTAAGCAGTGATATTTTTGTTTTGCTAACATGACAGACAAACATGCTCTTTAGCTGTTCAAAATGATGGTATTCGCTGCTCTCGGTGTAACCCTGAATGAAAGTAAATAGTGTTTATAGAATTAAGCATTTAAAAAGAAAAACAGACGGCCAAGGAGGCAGAACGCAAGACACTCAGGGAATCAGCCAGGTTCCGAGAAGAGAGCAGGGCCTTTGTTTGAAAAGTTCAAAGTAATTTTGCCAAATTTTGGTCATTTCACATTAGTACTCAGCGGGGAGCTGTCATTTGTGGGGAAAGAGAAAGCAAATAAATAAATAACCTAAGAGATGGAGCACTAAAGCTTTTCGTGCATCTCGCTCATATATTATTAGCCAAAAAAATAAAATAAAGTAAAAAACACAACACTTCAAAGCATTAAGAAAAAATTCAACTCTGTTAAACGAATTAGCGACTTCGAAATGGGCTACGTCAAAGGTATAAGGTTTGAGGGGTCATGCACGCTCACAACAGGACAAATGTAAGTCAGCAGAAGTCATAAGCGGTGAACGCCCCCATCAGGAGAGCCAATCTCCCCCCTCCTTCTCTCCACCCATCATCCTCCTTTTTCCCCTCCATCCGAGAGCGCTAATGGAACAGTGCTCTTAGCCCAGGGCTCCGGCACCAGACCCCGCTCTGCATGAGGGATGTAGTGCACTGCGGCCGGGGTCGCTCCCTTTGTGCCGGCTCTCCTTGGCCTCGCGGTAAAAAGAGCCATGCATGATTTCATACATGAAAGATATATGTAATTGGACAGCAGCAATGCCTATGCGTCATATTTACAATTCTAAACAGAGGATGGGAGAAGCAATGCCCTTTATCTCTCTTGGTCATAGTCTCTTTCTCTGCGAGGCACGAATTTCTGCATATCACAGAGCCCGTGATGTACAAAAATACATGAAATGCAGATTATCACACTTCTTATTTACTTTCATTATGGATCAGTTGAATGTGTCATTTTGACACAGCCCAGCGTCGCCTCGGTGTCCTGTCTCGTTGCTAGATCGCTTGGACAAAAATAGAGGAATTATTCCCGCTGGCCTCGCATTCAGACTAATACCGTGGCGGCGATGCTGTCGTCCAGTTCCTGAAAGGGACATCCCGATGCTTTGTTTATGCGTGGAGAGATAGCGAATGCATTTGTGTGTTTGTGGCCTTCATAATGCATCTTTAATAATGCAGTATAATTGAAATATCTGAGTTAGGAATAAGAATTTGGATTTTGCAAGACTAAATGGTTCGATTTAATGCTGGGGAACATGTATGTCATTTATTCCTAAGTTTGCTTTTGACTTTGCATGGCAGAATCTGCTTTATGTGACATTTGACGTGTCTGTGTGGGTCGCATTGGGGACACACACAGTCGTGTTGTGTGGTGGCCTGTTTTTGGTGGGGTCCCTCCTGGAGTGTTAATGTAGTACCAAGTTAAACACCTCTCTTGTTAATTGTCCTAACGAGCTCATGCTTTGCCATGAACTGCTTTTTTAATGGCTTGTTTTATGGGCGTGTGGAGCTCCAAGGCCAGACGGGGTCTCCTCCGACCCTTACGGGGGCAGCGTTCATGTGTAACTGGCCGTGATGCACAGCTTGTCCCCTTTTTGACGTCAACTCTACCCCCACCTCTGAATTTTGCAGAAGCCCACCTGCCTCTGAGTCCTGGAGGTCACAGGGGTGGGGGAAATGGCAAGGTTAAGCATCGTGCAACTATGTTCCAGTCGCTGTGGTCACTTGCAATTATACCCCAGCTACATCACCCACAAGACTAGTTGCAGGTTTTAGGCTTTGGTAGAATTTGCTGGTGCATGTTGCTCTACTTGGCCCTTTACTTGATCCTCATATTAATTATTATTCTTGTAATTACTTACAAATTCAATTTATAAATTATGATGCTAAACACGATACGTATTAAAAAAACAATTTAAGTTTTATTTTTTATTTTTTTCCCTTCATGATCAACATAATTAATGACACGTTTTTAATCATTTTAAATCACTAGTGCTTTATTTTTTCTTTTGCATAAAATATCAATTTCAGACTATTTTAAACTTAAATGTTACACTCTAAAAAATGCTGGGTTAAATACAACCCAGTGCTGGGTAAAATAGGGACAAACCCAGCAATTGGGTTGTTTTGACCCAGCGGTTGGGTTAAATGTTTAACCCAACCTTCTGGGTAGTAACCCAACCGCTGGGTCAAAACAAC